TGCCCAGTGCTTTAAAAGAAACTGGAGTCATTTGCCAACATCCATAACTCAGGAAATTTCACACCTCCCAGTTTCTCTCTGGAAAACCCAAGAGAGATGGACTGCAGTGGCTCCGGGGCAGAGCAGCCACTGCCTGTGTGCAGGCCCCTGGTCCTCCATGGTCCTCTCTCCCCACTGCGCTGCACTTGACCCACACCCCTCCCTTGTGCTATTTGCAGGTGTTCATGGCCTCCCCCTGCAGTGCAGTCTGGGTGCCATATAATTAGGACAAGAACTGTTACAGGATTTCAGAAAGACCAGAGCTTCTGGAGAACATAACATGGCAGGAAGAACGTACTCTGGCTTTAGAGGTGGGCAGACCGACCTTCAAGCTCTAGCCCTGCAACCTGCCGGCCCGTGCCTTAAACAAGTGCTTACCCTCCTGTTCCCTTTGCCTACAGTGCAGTGGCTAATGCTGCCTCCCTGCCCTCCCTAATGGGGTTGTGCTGAGGGTCAGCAGTAATGTATAATACCTACCATGCCTGGCACCAGGCATATGTCAGGGTGGAGCTTGTGTAAAATGTCTAGCAGGAAGCCTTGAAAGTACCTGGAAATTGTTAAAGAAAGAAACATGAAAAGTAATCCAACAAAAAACAAAGATAGATTAAAGAGTTAAATCTAGAAAATATGAACTCTGTGTGTGTGTGTGTGTGACTAAGAGGAAATGCACTTGTATATTTAACTTTCATCAGGATGGGAAAAGACCTTCTAAGCTCAAAAACCATGAAAGAGAGCCAAAAAAAAGATCAGCAAAGTGGACTCTAAAACTTTTGAGCTATTCTATGTTAAATATCATAAACACAGTTATAAGGCAAATATCAAGTAAGAAAAGTATTTGTAAAAAGTGTGACAGACAAAAAATATCTTACTGTGTGTGGTTACAGACCAGCACAAAAACAACATGCGCACGGAACAATGGACAGGGGATCTGAAGAGAGAGGGCACAAAAGGAGGAATACAAGTGGCAACATGAGGAGGCCTCACAAAACTGTGGAGCTGGGCCATCAGTCAGACTCTGAATGTGAATGACTTGTCATTTCTCCCCTCACCATTATCACTTGATAATGTTCAGCTAAAAGATGGACACTGTTAGAATTTCCTCACGAGTTCTATGTCGCTGGCACCTTTTCAGGAAAGCAGTTTGGTAGTAGAAATCAAATGTCTTGCAGTTCATACCCTGGGGTCCAGTAATTCAGTTTTTAAGCATATATCCTAGAAATGCATTAGTAATGTTTTGCGTCACGTCTATTTGAGGTAGCCTTTTCTCTAAAATGTAGTGAATCTGGTATATCGAATCTCAGCCTACAGCCGGGTGCCCCCCCACTGCTGTATCCGTAGCACTAGCACACTGACACACTCAGGTGGTCTGGAGGTGTTTGTGAGTTTAAAGAAGGAGGGATACGCTCACATGGACGGGTATTTTACAGTGGGACCCCGTATCTGTGTCTTCACTTCCTCTGGTTTCAGCCATCTATGGTCAACCACAGGCTGAACATAATGAATGGAAAATTCCAAAAATAAACCATTCGTGGTTTAAAATCACTTTTATTACAGTATATTGTTAAAATTGTTCTGTTTATTATTAATTATTCTTGCTCATCTCTTACTGTGCCTAATGTCTGAATTAAAGTTTGTCACAGGCGTATGTGTATACAAAAATGATAGTAGATAGAGGATTCAGGATTATCTGTCTACTGGCATCTGAGATCTATTCCACTGGATAATGGAGGGCCCACCGTGTAACCATATTTCTGAAATATATACAACATTTCTGAAGTGTTGTGTCTTTAAGGATGTAGACAGATGCTTACGAAATGATGTTAGCATGTAGAGTTCATGATTGTATATATAAAATGTATGTGTGTTGGGGGGGTAATGTGGGAACTCTGGGCGGTAGGGTTAAAGGTGACCTCCTATTTTCTTGGCACTTCTCCTCCATCGTCCAGCACAGATTTATTGATCTGTGTGAAAGGCCCTGACTGTGTTCCTCAAGGGCAGAACCACATAGGCCTCCCCTCCTGGAGCTGACGAGCGGCTAGGAAGACAGACGTTGAAGGAGGAATTACAAGGGCAGCGGCGTTTACTCTCATGAACTTAGACATTCAGATGAACTGGCTATGGTTGGAGACAGTGAGAATGTTGAGCTGTCTTAATATAAAAACATGTTTTTTGCTTTTCCCCTCTACTTGTAAGGTTTCAGATATATGGAAGATCAAGGACATGCACGAGAAAATCCACCCTGCAGATTGCTTGTGACCCTCAAAGCTTCTTTTAACTGGGATCCAGGATGGAAAATTTTATCTCCAGCAGTGGTTTATCTGAGAGTGTGTTTTGTTTTGAAGAAAGTCCTGAGTAAATCAAAAGGATTCCAGACACGTGTTTTGCTAACTTAACCATGTGTAACGGCTGTGAGCTGCTCCTCTAAACAGTCTGACCCCTGCTCCTGCTGTTGCTTACCTATTTATCAATCTGGGCACTTAGGCCCAGCCACGTGCGCTGCTCTGGCCTTTTATCTGCTTCCTGGTGGAACAAGTCTCCATGCACCGTGGTTAAGTTCAGTGTTGGCACCATGGTCTGTTGCCACTCTGGCTTCAAGTGAAGGATGTGTGTGTGAGCTCTGTGTTGCCTTGGCAGGACTCCTTGCCCTCTTTCCTGCCTGTCTCCGTCTGAAAACTAGGAATGCATGTCCTAAGCCAAGGCTGCAGGCAGCAAAGTAATAACATCACTCCTCCCAGTGGGTACCGTGTGTGTGTGTAGGAGAGAGAGAGAGACTCCCTCATGGATTGATTCATGGGGCTGCCTCCACTTGGAGGCTAACCTCTTCTGCTGTGGCTAATGGGTATGTTGTGCGTCATGAATGCAAAGCCAATCTGAGGCTTTCTCTCATTTGAAAAGTTAATTCAAATTTTAGGACATTCAGGGACATGTCTGTCTGTCAAGCATCACTTTCCTTCATTGCTGATATGCTTCTCTTACTTTTGGAGTTCCCTTTCACTTGTAGGTGTGTCCCTGCCTCATGTCCCAGGCAGAATTAGAATATCCGCTTCTTCTCTTAGCACCCCCTCATGTGGCCAGGTGGAATTAGAGTGCTTACTTAGCACTGCCCCCCCCCCATCGTGTTTTCATTGTCTTAAGAGATCTTTGCCTCACAGTTGTCCTGTTTTGTGGCTAAGTGTCTTTCCTCTCTGCTTCATTTCACTGTCCTGTCCTAATGTCTGTACTTGATTTATAGATTAAGCCCATGTTGCACTCCTGCTTATGTCAAAGGTAGCGGAGATTCTGCTTCTGGCTCTGTTGAGCCTTGCTCTGGGAATTGACTCTGCAGCCTATCTCATGGGCAGAGCACTCCCTTCTGCTCTCTCTTCTCCAGCAGGACACGCCTTTCCACCGTCTGGCATATTTTCTCTAAAAACAACCTTTTGCTTTCCGAGATGACCACCGAAGGGCAGGGTCACCTTCCCCCTGCCGTCTGGTTGGCTGAGTGGTCAGAGGTAAATATTTTGATGCTTACGTCTTATTGGAACAGAAAAGGTGGCAGACATAGCTAAAACCAATCGCTGAATCCAAGTTATTTCAAACTTCTGCCTGTAAAAATTATGACTGTTCTTGACAAAGTCATTGCCAAGGATTGGGGCCTGGAATTTAGACTGTTTATGCAAGTTCATCATTGTTTTGATTTTTGATTTTCCTAGGGGAAATCATTATAAACAGTTAAGTTCTCAGAATCACCCCTACAATAATAAATATAAACACAGCATCGCACTGAAATCAATCCTGCAGTAACCCAAATGTAACCCCTTGCATCGGAAATGAGGCCGATGAATGGAGTGGCCCATCAGTTCTGCCCAGATGGGGGTGGAGAAATCAGGAAGCTTCTCTGCTGCTGCGAGCCAGGGACTTGCTAATGCACACCCTTGTCAGCTGGGAGGAGGGGCAGCACCACCTGTGGATTGCTGTGGAGGCTGCGCTGGGAAGACTCATGGCAGTATGGGACATACACTGATGAATGGGAAAATGTAAATACAAGGCATTTTTATCCAAAATATTCAAGAGTTGTAATGCATTCTCCAAGGCTTAAACAGCCAGGCTCAAGGCAGAGCTCCCTTCTTGGAGACAATCATGCTGTTGTCTGTTGTGAAGAGACAGGAAGATTTCTCCAGAAGACCAAGGCAACCTTGGGAAGGGTGTGACTAGTTATTTAACATGGCTAGCAATCAGTGAATTAGTGTAAGTTATGAAAACGTGAAACAGAACTCGTATCAAGTCTTCTAAGGCCATGTTTTCCAGTGGGGCATTTAGCCCACAGTGAAGATACCCTGTCCCACATTGTAGCACTTGGTTCCAAATCCTGGCTCCAGCTCCTGACTCCAGCTTCTTGCTAATGCAGAAATAGTGATGGCTCAAGTGGTTGGTTCTTGCTACCCACATGAGAATCCTACATGGCTCTGGCTTTGGTCTCCCTCTGCCTGAAGTGGGCATTCTGGTCGTGAACCCGTAGATGGGAGCTCTCTCTCATCCTCTCTCTTCCTACCTCTCAAATAACATTTAAAAGGCCATGTTTCCCACTTTGACTATGTTGAAACATTCAGCATAGCATAAGGCAGGTGTAAAGAATTCTTGTATAAATGACTTTTAATTCCTTCATAGAGCTTTTCTGCACCTTGGATGGTGATACTAATGGCAATAGCTGGCACTTACCCTGCAGTTACTCCATGCCAGTCTCTGAGTGATTGACAGCATCTGTGTGTGGCAGATCCTGTCAGCAGCCCCACTTCACAAATGAGTTCATCAGGATGCAGAGAAGTGAAGTAACTTGTCCAAGGCCAAACAGCTGTGAAGGACAGCCAGTCTGTGATGCTCACGGTGTGGCTGAGGGGGAAAGGGGTCCATGTCTTTGCTGGCTGGCAGCTTGTGTTGTATCCTGATCACACACGCCGAGTGCAGTGAGTGCTGTTTTCTAGGAAGAGAACGGAGACTACACCTACGTGGAGAGGGTGAAGATACCTCTGGACCACGGGACCTTGTTGATCATGGAGGGAGCGACACAAGCTGATTGGCAGGTGAGGACGGCGAGTGATGTGTATGCCTGCCTGGGCTGGTAGGGGGCACCCTGACTGCTGAGGAGCCCTGGTTTCTGAGCAGACCAGTGCTGCAAAGCCAGTTGCTTTGGTAATGAGAAAGAGGCGGTACAGGGCCATCCGGTCCGAGGAGGTTGGATCCTGGGGAAATCCACCAGGCAGCAGCTGTGTGTGCAACAGAACTTTCTCTGATTCTGGAAGTACTCTATCTATGCTGCCCAACGTAGCCACCACCAACCACGTGTGCCTGCTGGCCGCCGTGTATGTGACTAGTACATTCAAAACCCAGATTTTTATTTCACATGACTTCTACTGCATTGGACCATTGGCTGTCCTATTAGACTGCACGGCTCCACAGCTCGGCCAGGCCATGCTTAGGCTGGAGCCTCAGACGTGCACATCCCCTCATGCCTCTCTCCGGTCTCATCCATCCGTGTTTTCCTTATGAGATCTGGGGCAATGGCAGGCATCCGTGAGGAGGAGCAGCAGTGGAAGAGAAGAAACTGTCTCGCCTCCAGGGCGCTGGCCTGGCACGGCGGGGTCAGCGTGGAGAGTGATTTCCAGAGGAGGAGGCCTTTTGCACGTTTACCCCTTGCTCGCTGAAGGGAGGAGAAAAGAGGGAAATCTGTGTCTCATAAATAAGTTTGAAATCATTCTGAACTTGCTATGTGTGTGTACTATGTCGGAGAGTAACCAGTATTTCCATTTAGCATCGAGTGCCCAAAGAATACCACTCGAGAGAGCCGAGAGTGAACCTGACCTTTCGGACCGTTTACCCGGAACCGAGAGGGGCCGCCCGCTGATGGGAGGTCTGAGAGAAGCTGCTCGGAGACTGGGCCCACCCTGCCATGCAGAGGAAGTATCCAGAGGCCGGTCTGGCCAACCTCGGGGGCGGCCGTGAGGCCCATGATGGGGGATCTGCTCCCAGCTCTGCCCTCTCCACGGCCGTCCAGCAGCGCGTGGTGGGAATGTGTGTGCTGCGGGAACGCTTACTCCCAACTCTGTCACAAAACCCCATGTTATCTTTAGGCAGATTAAAAACGGCTGTGTGTGGCTGCGCTCACGGATGATTTTGTCCATAAGCGAGATTCCTCCCACCCTCCCTGCTTGCATTTGGGGAAATATGAATGGACTTGTGCCTCCGTGGAAAGTCTGCACGTGTGTGTTCCTCGTGATGCTGGCGAGGTGGAGACAGAACTGTGCCTGCCTCAGTGGCTCCAGAGCCTTCTGTGGGCAGACAGCTGCTGACACCCAGAGGTGGCCTTGCAGGCTTGGCTCAGGCCTGCCCCGACACCCTAACACATTGACACACTGCCGCAGCGGAAAGGGGACATGCTATTGAGCCAAGTCTTCTCGCCTGTCCACCTGCCTGGGACACAGATCAGAGGCCTCGGGTAGAGGATGAAAGCAGTGTGAGCACCTGGACGGCTCGTGACACCCGAGCAAACTGTCCCCTCCTAGGGAGGAATGACCGAGGAGGTCATGCAAGGTGGCAGGCCAAGGCCGAGGCTGAGGCTGGAGAGCCGCGAACGCCCTCTTAGTGACAGCTGTTCCACGTAGATTAGTTTCCCCCAGAGAATCAATGGGGTCACTGAACCCCCGCCAGACAGAAGCGAGAGCAGGCCTCCAGGGAACAGACTCCATTACCCAGTGGTCGTGTTCACCTTGGGTTCCAGGAGCCCATGACTAAGGCTGTCTTCTGACTCAGTGTTCGCTTACACACACGTTACCAAGGTTCAAGGGTGAGTCTGTGATGTCACCAAGGTTCCCAAAACAGAGCACAGTGGCTGCCCCCTCTTGCATCAGAAAAACACGTGTCGTCTTGACCCCGTGACTCAGGAGCAGTGTGCCAGATGAATTCCAAACCAGGATACGGGAAACCCGAAGAAAGAAAATGAATAGAAATGGAGGAAAGTAGGGCACACGAGCTAGAGTTTCTCTCTCTGCCTTTGGGGAAAACGTATAGTGTCGTCTTTCTTTTTATCCGTTTCCATTCCATGTTGTGAGATTGAAGATCCCCATGATCCTGATACAGTGCCAAAGGCTGGGCCAGCTCTTACCCAGAGCTCGGGTGCAACACTGGGCCTGCCGGGCTCTGCTCCCTGAGAAGCTGCCTGGCTCCTTCCATTATAGTTCCTGTTTGGGGTGTGTGTGTGTGTTGTTAGATAACTCCTTTCTCTAAGAAATGCTAAAATCCTTTACAAAACGTGAGCAGCATGCAAAGCCTTCCTACTAAGGAGGGCCACGTCATTATACAATCAAAGCAAATCTCTGTTTAATTCCTCGTTGTTCTCCTAGTAAAGCAAACAAAACCTGGCGGGGGTGATACAGCCAGCGCCGGTTCTGGTTGGACATGTGACACTGGGAGATTCCTCTTCCATTCCTTACCAGTGAAAGAACTGGCAGATGGTGCCGAGTCCTGCAGCCTCCCTCCCTCCTAATGGAGGGTCATGATCTCCCCTTGCATCAGCTGTGCATTTGAGCGCCTCACTCCTCATCCCCGTGTCTGGCAAGGAAGTGAATTCCTGTTCTGCGGCAGACGGGTTGGACCACCCCTCGGGTTTCTCCATCAGACGGCAGCGTACTGTAGCTGTTGTTGCTTGCTCACACCATAGACACCATATGCCAGAACTGCCATTTTTTTTTTCACCACTAAGATAATGTCCGCTCTGAAACGTCAGGGGGTGGTTGGCATGAAGTCAGAGGCTTTTGGAATGGACAGGAATTCTAGACTGTGGCAAAGGACAGCCATGCTCAGCCACTCTGCCCAACTGGTTCTTCCTCTCCTGGTGGTCAGGCTCACCTAGGAATGAAGGACAAGGACATTCTATTCACATTAGGTCTAAGGCAGGAAGCAAGTGCAACAGTTATAGCATGAAGAAAGGCAGGGTGAGTTTTTGTGTTTTTTTCAGCTGTCCTTTTTGTTTTGAGCTTCAGCCTAGTAGGCTGTGTCCTACGAGCTTTTATATTAGTCCTTGCCACCGCCCTGCAGGAGACACTGTTCCCCTTGTAGAGACGAGACGGTGTCTCCAGGAGGTTAAGTAGCTGAACAGGACTTGCAGAGTGAGAGCCAAGTTCAAACCACGGGCTCAGCCCCAAGCCCACGTGTTTTCCCCATGCCATGCTGAATTTAGGTGGAAGGAATACCCCACCAGGCCTCCTGGAAGCCTGAGCCTCAGGACTTGTCCCTGCAGAGCTGGCCACAGCGACCCACAGGCCACCTGTTTGTCCCCTGGCTTCCCTGTGTGTGAGGGCAGGCATCTGCCTGTCATCCCTCCTAATCAATGTTGACATCTCCTAATCAGAAACCATGTTGCTGACCAGACCAGCAGTTGGCCACTGAACTGAGAAAGCTCATTTTCTGGGGGGACAGAGCTGTTTTCCGGTGAGTTAGGCAAATTCTCAGCCAAACTCCTGGTGCATGCATCCAAGCAGGTACTTTGAGAGGTAGGCGAGTTTGTCCCTTATGGTTCCTCCTCTCCTTGTGATCTGTGAGTACTTTTGGGGACCCTGAATGATGCCCAAGTCAGTGGGAAGCTCCTTTGTAATAGCTACCAATGCCACTACTCTGGTCAACAGAAAGCCCAAAGGAAAAGTCAGGCTCCACACTAAAAACGCCTTGCCAACAGGCGGCTTGTCTTGAAGCACAGGTCGGAGCAGTGAAACACTCAACGTCAGATTGTATCCGCAGTACTGAAATGAGGATCTGGGGTAGGCACTGGTCAAATCCCTGATAATGCTTCCTGGGAGGCAGAAGATGATGGCTCAAGTGTTTGGGCCTTTTGCCACCCGCATGGGGGACCTGGATGGCTTAGCTTCAGCCTGGCCCAGGTTTTTCTGTTGTGGGCGTTTGGAGAGTGATCCAACAGATGGAAGGTCTAGGTCTCTGTCTTTCGCTCTTGCTCTCACTTGCCATTCAAGTAGATGAAAATAAACATAAAAAATCCAGGATCTGTTTTGCTCTCTTGTTGACTACACCACTAGCTCAATCACTAATTCAGTTTTGGTCACAGCTAATGCAGCTGTCATTTCCTTGTGGCACCCACTCCCCGCTGCCTCCGTGGTTGACCTGAGCCTGCGGGGTAGACAGGGCAGGTCTGTCTGCACCCATCAGTGACGGGCGCTGGCTCTTGAATTGTGTCACGGCAACCCCGAAAGAGTTAAGCAGGCCTTGCAAGGAGCAGAAGGCTCCAGTTGGAGAGTTTCAGAGAGAGTGTCCTGACACATGACGGCTTCCTGCCCTGCTGAGAATACTTCTTCCTTGAATTCTGGCAGCTTTTCCTTGGCTGCAGAATATCTAAGACCCACTTTGCCTTTTCTGGTCATAAACACTTGTAGTGTTGAATCTGAAGTCTTGATTACTTTTCTTAACAGTGCTTTTGAGAAAGCTGAATGTTTCCATAGCGATGCATTCTGTTTGTTTAAATCTTTCCTTATACACGATTCCACCCACACCCTCTCTTCAAAGGGACCTTGTTCACAACTGCCCGCTCCCTCTCTGCCCGCCGGGTTCTCTAGACGGACCTCCCCCAACCCCAGCATGAGACCCCTGGCCCCTGTTGGATTTGGGTTGCTGGAATCTGTTCTCGGACGTGATTTTTTTTTTTTTTTTTGGTGTGTCGGCGGTCAATAAGGAAATGACTTTGCTGTTTACTTATACGGGAGGAGAACGCAGACTGATGGTGCTTTTCCCGGCTGGTTTGGCACTGGTATGGCTTCTTGTTAGAAAAACCTACCCCAGCCTGTGGACAGAGCCCCGTACCTGCGGGGCTGTGGGTGTTAAAGCCCAGAGTGGGGATGGGGAGGGGCAGTGTCAGAAAACAGTGTTGTCATCCAGGTCAGTGCTGTTCAGAGGGCCATGGATGACATCGCTTGTTTTGATGATTTCCGTGCTGTCAGCCCCCGTCCGGGGAAGGCTGATGTCACACTCCCTCAGCACAGGGACAGTCCCTACTCCCCTGTGATCTCCAGAAGGGCTGACCGTCACTGCTCCAGCAGGGCCCTGGCCTCCCAACCCCCTGATCCTCATTCCTGGTGGCCGGTTCTGGTTTTTATGGAAAAGAAAGAGAAGGTGGGGGTGGGGGGAGCGTCTTACCCACAACGGGAGTTATACCCAGGGGCAGCCCTGTGGGATGGGGCGGGCTCTTTGTAAACACGATGGACCAGCATTTACGAGGTTCAGGGATCCGGTGGCCCATGGCACCTGCTGGTCACTGTGAGTTCCCCGGCTGGAGTCCGCGGGTGGTACCTGCCTGGGAGTTGCGGGCGGGAGGAAGCTATGGGTAGCGCAGGCAGGGTGAGTGCGGGAGCAAGAGTGCACAAGGCTCTGCTGGAGAAACTGGGGTGGATGTGGCAGGAGGCCCCTGCCCCAGGCACCCTGGGCGGGGTGGGGGTGGGGTAGTGCTCCACACTTACACAGGGACGGGGGTGGGTACCCAAGAAGTGAAGAGATGTAGGTACCCTTACTAAAGGATGTTTGTGGGATGGCTGGATGCAAAATGCTAGGAGGCTTCCCCAAAGCTCTGGCCCTGGGGATCCAGGCTGCTGGGCCCACCCAGGCACTACGCAGGAAAGTCTTAGAGAGCAGGGAACCCACAGAAGTGTCCCCTCTGGGTGCTCTGTCCAGGGATTAACGGCCCATTTCTTCCCAGTACCCTCTCCCTGACCTCAGCCTTTGTCCTGTCTCCTGGAGCAACAGGGAAAGGTAGGCAGTGGCCTGGAGGTAAAAACCAAAGAGGGGAGGTCTGAACCTGTGGATTCTCCCTGGATGCCTGCTCTCTGTGCTGTGCCCCAGGGGAGGTGGGCTAGGGACGTCTTCTGCTGCTGTGGCCCTTTGCCTCTGGGCACCCTGCAAAGGGTGAGGGTTAGAGTCTACTCTCCCCATTGAATAGATGAGAAAACTGAGGCGTTGCCACATTGTGCAGCATCTGAAGGGGCTGAGGCAGCAGTAGCACGGAGATGTACTATGTCAGGTGTCTAGGCCCGTGTTCTTTCCACCACTAAGAGTGACTTGGTACAAGAGAGAACACAGGGGCAGCAGCCCCAGAAAGTCACAGTGC